AAGTAAAGACGATCAGACTGACCTCCCTCTCTGATGGCACCAAAGCCAGTGACCCAGCTATCAACCCCAGCGTTGAACACACTGTTAGTGGCTGCGAGACACACTGGCCTGATGTAATCTGTGAAGGTGACTGCTGAAGACAGTCGGATCAGAGCCATGTCGTTGTCGCTGGTGAAACTGTCATAATTTGGATGTAGAATTATGTTTGATACTGATTTGGAAACTTCATTGGGGTTTGTGCCTTGTAGGTTGTCCCGGCCGAGAGAAACCCGCCACCCTCTGGTTCTTTCACTGAAAATAATATTTTCAGTAGAAGATCTTTTTAAAATGATGAATTATATTCAAAAGTCCTGACTCACCTGGAGAAGCAGTGGGCTGCAGACATGATCCACTCTCGGTTGATGAGGGATCCGCCACAAATGTGTTGGCCAAACCTCTGCAGACTGACCTGCCAGGGCCAACTTCCAGCTGGAGCATCTTCACCTCCAACGATCCTGGTGCTCAGAGGAGTGACTCCACACACTGCAATGAAGGAGGTTTTGGTACATTATGTATAAGTTCTTAGCCTCTAAATACCCATGCTGCTGTGTGCATTGAAATAATCTCAGCACAACAGACTGGAAACTCGGGCTGAAAGTTTCACCTGGATGTGGGGACCAATCCATGAAATTTGTCCCCAAAAATGCTCTATTCATGAGACAGAAGCTTGTAGTTTGTTTCTAGGTCCAGCAGATTGCAGCAGATGTACCACTATCTTCCCTAATGTTGAACTTACACAAATGGCAATAATCTTTCTGCACCATTGTATGAACATAATTTGTGTTTTTCACTTCAGTGTTTCTCTCTCAATTTCTGTCACTTCTGGTTGGATTTGTTAACTTGGCACTTATGTGCAGAAGCATATGGACATCCATAGCCCCCAACCAATGATGAGGACAATCGTAAATAAGACCTCCCCTACAAGAAAATGAACAAACGGTTCCCAGACTAAATGTTCCCTTTTGATGTTTGGTCTGGTGTTAGTGAGGCTAATAAGCTCTGTCTTTTTAAAAGCAGTAGAAGACAATGCTCACACTCTGCACTTGACCCCATTGGCTCTTCTTCTGTGGGTTCTAGCTCTGGTGCTGTGGTTGTTTCTTGTGGTTCTGCTGTTGTAGTGACTAGAGAAGGAGGCAGACCAGGACAGGTGGTGCTGCTGTCAGGGTCTGGGCCTCTGGACACAAACTGGACAAAGCCTGGCTGATCTGAGCTAATGTGAGAGTTGATCCAGGACTGGTAGTTGGACACTCTGGAGTAGACTCCTGGCAGATTGGGTCGAGCACAGCCATATCCAAAGCTAACAACACCTGACTGGACCCAGACACGGCCCTGTTTACTGACCATTGGACCTCCAGAGTCGCCCTAAACACAACAGCATATGTGTGAGACTTTTGTGGACAACAGGTTTTTCAGTAATTCCAACACAATACCTGACAGGAGTCCTTTCCTCCAACTTTAAGACCTGCACAGATCATGTTGTCTGTGATTGTGCCCACTCCATTAAGACAATTACACTGACGGTTTCCAACAACAGGAACCTCCACTTCTTGAAGAGTTTCAGGGAACGGGAGTGGCTCTGAGAGGATACACAGAGTTTTTCACTCAATACATTCATATGATGAAGACTGTGCAAAGTAAAGACGATCAGACTGACCTCCCTCTCTGATGGCACCAAAGCCAGTGACCCAGCTATCAACTCCAGCGTTGAACACACTGTTAGTGGCTGCGAGACACACTGGCCTGATGTAATCTGTGAAGGTGACTGCTGAAGACAGTCGGATCAGAGCCATGTCGTTGTCGCTGGTGAAACTGTCATAATCTGGATGTAGAATTATGTTTGATACTGATTTGGAAACTTCATTGGGGTTTGTGCCTTTTAGGTTGTCCCGACCGAGAGAAACCTGCCACCCAAAGGTACTTGTACTGAAAATAAAATAACAGACTATTTTCAAACTCATGAAATTAATCTTCTGACTTTAAATGAACAGGGCAGCAGAAGGTCCTTAAAAATAGATGAATTATCGTCAAAAGTCCTGACTCACCTGGAGAAGCAGTGGGCTGCAGACATGATCCACTCTCGGTTGATGAGGGATCCGCCACAAATGTGTTGGCCAAACCTCTGCAGACTGACCTGCCAGGGCCAACTTCCAGCTGGAGCATCTTCACCTCCAACGATCCTGGTGTTCAGAGGAGTGACTCCACACACTGCAATGAAGGAGGTTTTGGTACATTATGTATAAGGTCTTAGTCTCTAAATCCCCATGCTGCTGTGTGTGCTGAAATAATCTCAGCACAACAGTATGGAATCTCGGGCTGAAAATCTCACCTGGATCCGGGGACCAATCCATGAAATTTGTCCCCAAAACATGCTCTATTCATAAGACAGAAGCTTGTAGGTTTTTTTTTAGGAACAGCAGATAGCAGCAGATGTACCACTAGCTACACAAATGGCAATAATCTTTCTGCACCATTGTTCTAACATACACTCACCGGCCACTTTATTAGGTACACCTTGCTAGTACCGTGTTGGACCCCCCTTTTGCCTTTAAAACTGCCTTTTTCCTTCGGGGCATAGATTCAACAAGTTCCTGGACACACTCCTCAGAGAGTTTGCTCCATATTTGATAGCAACATGCAGTTTCTGTAGATTTGTCGGCTGCACACATAATGCTCCTGTTCCACCACATCCCAAAGTGTCTCTATTGGACTGAGATCTGTGACTGTGGAGGCCATTACAGTACAGTGAACGTTTTGTTATGTTCAAGAAACCAGTCTGTGATGATTGGAGCTTTATGACAAGATGTTTTATCTGCTGGAAGTAGCATCAGAAGATGGTAAACTGTGGTAATAAAGGGATGGACATGGTCAGCAACAATACTCAGGAGGGCTGTGGCAACGATGCTCAACTGGTCCTAAGGGACTCAAAGAGTGCCAAGAAAATATCCCCCATTTCATTACACCCCCACCACCAGCCTGAACTGTTGATACAAGGCAGGATCCATGCTTTCATGTTGTCGACTCCAAATACTGACCCTACCATCCAAATGTCACAGCAGAAATCGAGACTCATCAGACCAGGCAACTTCTTCCAAAATTCTATTATCCATTTTGAGCCTGTGCAAATTGTAGCCTCAGTTTCTTGTTTTTAGCTGACAAGAGTGGAACCCGGTGTGGTCTTCTTCTGCTGTTGCCCATCTGCCTCAAGGTCTGAGGTGTTCTGTGTTCAGAGAGGCTCTTGCAGACCTTGGCTGTAGCAAGTGGTTGTTTGAGTTTCTGTTGCCTTTCTATTCGCTCAAACCAGTCTGGCCATTCACCTCTGACCTCTGGCATCAACAAGGCATTTTCTCCCACTAAACTGCCGCTCACTGGATATTTTCTCTTTTTCAGACCATTCTCTGTAAACCCTAGAAATGGTTGTGTGTGAAAATCTCAGTGGATCAGAAGTTTCTGAAATGCTCAGACCAGCCCGTCTGGCACCAACAACTATGCCACGTTCAAAGTCACTAAAATCTCCTTTTTCCCCATTCTGACGCTCGGTTTGAACTGCAGCACATCGTCTTGACCCTGTCTACATGCCTAAATGCATTTAGTTGCTTCCATGTGAGTGGCTAATTAGGAATTTGCGTTAAAGTGGAGTTGTATAGGTGTACCTAATGAAGTGGCCGGTGAGTGTAATTTGTGTCTTTCGTTTCTTTTTTTCTCTCTCAATTTCTGTCACTTCTGGTTGGATTTGTTAACAAGGCACTAATGTGCAGAAGCATATGGACATCCATAGCACCCAACCAATGATGATGGACAATCGTAAATAAGACCTCCCCTACAAGAAAATGAACAAACAGTTCCAGACTACATGTTCCCTTTTGATGTTTGGTCTGGTGTTAGTGAGGCTAATAAGCTCTGTCTTTTTAAAAGCAGTAGAAGACAATGCTCACACTCTGCACTTGACTCCATTGGCTCTTCTTCTGTGGGTTCTGGCTCTGGTGCTGTGGTTGTTTCTTGCGGTTCTGCTGTTGTAGTGACTAGAGAAGGAGGCAGACCAGGACAGGTGGTGCTGCTGTCAGGGTCTGGGCCTCTGGACACAAACTGGACAAAGCCTGGCTGATCTGAGCTAATGTGAGAGTTGATCCAGGACTGGTAGTTGGACACTCTGGAGTAGACTCCTGGCAGATTGGGTCGAGCACAGCCATATCCAAAGCTAACAACACCTGACTGGACCCAGACACGGCCCTGTTTACTGACCATTGGACCTCCAGAGTCGCCCTAAACACAACAGCATATGTGTGAGACTTTTGTGGACAACAGGTTTTTCAGTAATTCCAACACAATACCTGACAGGAGTCCTTTCCTCCAACTTTAAGACCTGCACAGATCATGTTGTCTGTGATTGTGCCAACTCCATTAAGACAATTACACTGACGGTTTCCAACAACAGGAACCTCCACTTCTTGAAGAGTTTCAGGGAACGGGAGTGGCTCTGAGAGGATACACAGAGTTTGTCACTCAATACATTCATATGATGAAGACTGTGCAAAGTAAAGACAATCAGACTGACCTCCCTCTCTGATGGCACCAAAGCCAGTGACCCAGCTATCAACCCCAGCGTTGAACACACTGTTAGTGGCTGCGAGACACACTGGCCTGATGTAATCTGTGAAGGTGACTGCTGAAGACAGTCGGATCAGAGCCATGTCGTTGTCGCTGGTGAAACTGTCATAATCTGGATGTAGAATTATGTTTGATACTGATTTGGAAACTTCATTGGGGTTTGTGCCTTTTAGGTTGTCCCGACCGAGAGAAACCTGCCACCCAAAGGTACTTGTACTGAAAAAGAAAATAACAGACTATTTTCAAACTCATGAAATTAATCTTCTGACTTTAAATGAACAGGGCAGCAGAAGGTCCTTAAAAATAGATTATCGTCAAAAGTCCTGACTCACCTGGAGAAGCAGTGGGCTGCAGACATGATCCACTCTCGTGTGGCAGGTTGGTGTAGGCTGCCTTTTAAGATGGATTGTGGGTGGCACCGACGTAGCGTTGAAAGCCGGTTACGCGCACGGCGCGCGCTCATACACACACCAGCTTGAGTGGGCATTGTGGTGGCGGCGTGCTGTGGCCTCCCGCAACACCTGGTTCGGGCCTTAACTTTCCGAGCCCTGCGCTTCTACGCATTATCATCCAGGTTAGTTTTAACAAGCCTCTTCTGGTGCACGCTGTGTGCCAGCCCTTCTTAAATGTTGGTTGTCTTAGGTCCAGGACTACGGTCTGGCCTGGCGCGCGTGGTCTTCCTCCTTCTCCTTGGGAGTGCGTGCGTGGTGCACGCGTCGTGCGCTCCAGGCCCTTCTCTGGGTAAGTGCGTCCATTGTCTCGCTGAATTTTGTGCTTGGCCCGGGCTGACATCAAATTTTCCTTAGGTCTGGGGCTGTTGTGGGACTTTGCCGTGATTCCCCCACGTCTCTCCCCCTCCTCCTGCTGCCTGCGGGTGCGCGCACTGTCCCGGCAGGTAAGAGGTCCAAAGCTTTACCACTGCAGGGCTACTCCTTAGAGGCCGTTGTTTTCCCTCTGTGTTGTCCACATTCTCTCGGCGTACGAGGCGCACAGCGTGCGTGGCCCTTGGAGCTGCTCCAGCGCCTGTAGTGCGGCCGGTGTTTTGTCCCTCTGTGTTGTCCACATTCTCTCGCAAAGACTACAAGGAATCTGGGTAGTTTGTCCGCATGTCTGCTCCTGCATGCTTGTTTGTTTTTGTCGCTTGCACGTTATTTTCCTTTGCCTGTTTTCTGTGTGTATTTACCTTATTGTGCATGATTTGCTGTGTCTTATTTTATTTTTGCTTCTGTTGTGATGTTTGCCTATTTTCACAAGCTATTTGATTTATGTTTATTTAAAGGTGCTGTCCCCCACTACTCAAGTAGCACTGTGTACATTGTGTATTGTTAAAGGTGTACGGTGTACTGTGTTTAAATTGTTGTTTACCATTTTAAAATAATATTAGGCCTATTTCAATTCCTGTATTTATTAAATAAAACTTATCTTTGTAATAAAAATTCACCTCCTTTATTGTCCTAACCTAGTGCGGCCTTCTGAAAGCAAAAAGATTAAATCAAAACCGTCCGGTCCCAGGGCCATTACCCTGGGTGGCGTTGCTGAATTTTCATTGTTCTACCACGGCTCCCGCCACATTTTGGCGTACGCTGGCAGGACAGGACATAAAGTAGAGGTGTGATTATTTTTGTTTATATAAATTGCTTTTGTTTATGTTCCTTGCACCTTGGATATCGTACTGTTTATTTTGTTGTGGACAATTTCAGTGGACAGGGCAACGGCTATTCTTTTCAGGACTCAAAACTCGAGGTTAGTCACACTCAAGTTCTATCTCTTGCCTAAAGGTTGTGGTGTGTGTACCCCTAGACAGTATGGAGGAGGAGCTTCAGCAGCTCAGAGAGCAGTTGTCTCAGCTTAAGGCAGACAATGAACGACTTCTCCGGGATAGGGCCTCACCCCAGGCCGGAGCTAGTGGAGTTAATCAGACTCCAGGCACTCCCACCGGTAGTGTTCCCTCAGGGACTTCAACTGTTTCCATGGAGCGCGTGTTTGTGATGCCTCGTGACCGCAAGTGTCCCTTGTTCAATGGGAGGACGGGTATCTCCCTGGATGAATGGACGGAAGAGATTGAAGCTGGTATGCGTGCCCGCCATCTTTCTACTAGGGATAGAGCTTTCTTCATTTTCGATCATTTGGAAGGGGAGGCTAAGAGTGAGATAAAGTTCCGTCCGATGGTGGAACGAGAGGACCCAGCACGGGTTCTGGATATTCTTCAGGAATTGTATGGCTGTGCCCGGCCATATGTGACTTTACAGCAAGCCTTTTTTTCAAGACAACAACAAGAAGGGGAAACCTTACAGGAGTTTTCCCTTGCGCTTATGTCACTTATGGAACGGGTTAAACAGCGTGCACCAGGAGGCGTACCGAATGCAGCAGTCCTTTTACGTGACCAGTTTATCGAGCAAGTAATTGACAGTGGGCTACGTAGGGAGTTAAAGAAGTTTGCTCGTGATACCCCAACTGCCACCTTACTGCAGGTGCGTGCCGAGGCCTTTAGATGGGAGAGAGAGGGGTTGCCCACCTCTCATCGGGAACGTAGTTTTTCTCTTCCGTCCATCCATGGCCTTCAGTTTGAGGTTAGAGGTAGTGCTCGCTCCCCTTCGGTGCCAACACCACCTTCGGTGCCACCACCTTCGGCACCTGGCTTGGGTGAAGTAATGGATTTATTAAAGCATCAGCAGGAACAACTTAATCAACTGACCCAGACAGTAGCTTCCCTTCAGGCCCCACGGCAAACTGGTAGGCCAACTCGCAGTAGCGTTATATGCCGGAGGTGCGGATCGGCCTGGCCATTATGCCAGTGAGTGTGATGGAGAGCGTGTTCCTTTCCGTGGCAGAGCTAGCTCTGCCTCTGCACCTTCCCACCCCCCCGCATCGCAGGGAAACTAGCGCCCGCTGAACTGGGGAGCCAAAGTTCAGGGGGGGTGTCCATAGGCTCACGTATAGGCGAACTCTCTGGCTTGATGGCATCTTGCCCAACAGTTGAGGTAAACATGGGTGGGGCAACCGTTCCCTGCTTGTTGGATACTGGATCCATGGTATCCACAGTCACAGAAAGTTTTTTTAGGGAACACTTTGAACCTTGGGGTGCTGACCGCCTTCAGTCCTGCCACTGGTTGCAGCTGCGGGCAGCCAATGGGCTTGAAATACCATACATTGGGTATTTGGAGCTGGATGTAGCCCTCTGTGACAAAGTGATACCTCAGTGTGGTATATTAATTGTAAAGGATCCCCCTGACACAAGCCCCTCCACTCCAGGTATTCTCGGAATGAATGTAATTCGTCGCTGCTACCGGGAGTTGTTTGGTGCCTACGGCTCCTCTCTTTTTGAGCTTCCTGTAGTTGCACAGGCCCCAGGCCCAGTCATTGAGGCCTTGCAGAAATGCCATAAAGCAGCTGCTCGCGAGCCAATAACTATGGTTGGAGTTGTTAAGGTCCGGGGTCCACGAGCGGTGCGAGTGCCTGGGGGCACGATGAAGCTGGTCGCAGGCACCTGCCCCCAACAGCTTGCCGGTAAGGCTGCTCTTTTTGAACCGCCAGAAACTGGCCTACCGGCTGGATTACTGGCTTCCCCTTGCTTAGTGCGTGTTGAGAAGGGCACAGTTTACCTCCCGGTGGTTAATGTGGGGATAGTTGACGCCTTTCTACACCCTCGGACCAGTCTCGGGACCCTGAGTAAGGCAGAAGTAGTGAGTTTACCAGTGGGGGTTACGGAAGTCAACACAGCCACAGCCACAGTCTCCTCTCAGGTGGCGACTGAGCCAGAGGACAAGGTTGGTGCGGTGGACCTGTCTGTGCTTGAGCCTGAGGAACGGGTAGCAGTCAGGTCTTTGTTGCAGAAGTACCGCACAGTGTTCGCCGCTCATGACGGTGACCTTGGGTGTACCAACCTGATAACGCATGAGATCCCTCTGCTGGATGACGTGCCGGTTCGGCAGCGCTACCGCCGCATTCCACCGTCGGAATATGAGGCTGTGAAGGCCCATATTAACCAACTCCTCGATGCGCAGGTAATACGGGAAAGCAGCAGCCCATACGCCTCTCCCATCGTCCTGGTCCGTAAGAAGGACGGTGGTCTTCGCCTTTGCGTTGACTACCGCCTTCAAAACGGCAAGACCAGGAAGGACGCCTTTCCCTTACCGCGCATCGAGGAAAGTCTGGATGCGCTGTCGGGCGCCCGTTGGTTCTCAACACTCGACTTGGCCAGCGGGTACAATCAGGTCCCAGTGGAAGAGCCAGACAAGCCGAAGACGGCCTTTTGTACACCATTCGGCCTGTTCGAATTTAATCGAATGCCATTCGGCTTGTGTAACGCTCCGAGCACGTTCCAGCGCTTGATGCAGAGGCTGTTTGGAGACCAACAATGTCAGTCATTGTTGTTATATCTCGACGACATTGTTGTGTACTCCTCCTCCGTCTCACAGCACCTGGACAGGTTGGAGCTGGTGCTGGGACGTCTTCAGCAAGAGGGTTTGAAGGCCAAGCTGGAGAAATGCTTCTTCTTCCAGCTTAAGGTGAAGTATTTGGGACATGTGATTTCCCAAGAGGGTGTCTCCACAGACCCTTCTAAGATTGAGGCGGTGGCTGGGTGGAAGCGCCCTCAACACGTCACTGAACTGCGTTCCTTTTTAGGTTTCGCCAGTTACTACCGGCGGTTTGTTGAGGGTTTTGCCCCACTGGCCGCCCCTCTTCATAAGTTGGTGGCTGCGGTTGCTGGGACAAAGCACAAGAGGGGCTCAGGGAAGCCTCTGGGTGAGGCTTGGACCTCTCAGTGCGAGGACAGCTTTGAAGCGTTAAAGGCCAAGCTTGTCGCCACTCCCGTGCTCGCATATGCCGACTTCTCCAAGCCATTCATCCTGGAGACGGATGCGAGTTATAGCGGCCTTGGGGCAGTGCTGTCACAGGAGACTGAGGGTGGCGTCAGACCTGTTGCCTATGCAAGTCGGGGTCTTCGGCCCACTGAGCGCAATATGACAAATTACAGCTCCATGAAATTGGAGCTGCTCGCGCTCAAGTGGGCCATGACCGAGAAATTCCGGGAGTACTTGCTGGGGCATAGGTGTCTGGTGTTTACAGATAACAATCCGTTGAGCTACCTTCAGTCTGCCAAGCTCGGAGCCCTGGAGCATCGGTGGGCCGCCCAACTTGCTGCATTTGATTTTGAAATAAAGTATAGATCTGGGCGCAGCAATGGTAATGCGGATCCCTGTCCAGGCAGTACTTAACATCCTCCGAGCTGGCTGCTGGTGTACTGCCAGGCAGCTCTGTCCCGGTGGCCCTCCAACAAGAAGCAGGTCCACTGGTTGCAGGTCAGTCTCTAATCTGTGCCATCCCGGGGCGCTCCCTGCCCGAGATCCGCGCTTTACAGACGAACGACCCTTGCTTGAGGGAAGTCCTGGTCTTTTGGCAAAGACGGGCGCGACCCTCTCCAATGGAACGCCGTGGCCTTTCCAGGCCAACCTTGACCCTCCTCAAGCAGTGGGATCGCTTCGTGGAGAGAGAAGGTGTGTTGTACCGTAGGCTTCTACGGCCTGACGGGGGAGAGGAAAGCCTCCAGCTACTCCTACCTGTCGCACTCAGGGAGCAGACCCTTGAGCAGCTCCATCAGGAACATGGCCACCAGGGCATTGAGAGGACCACTGAACTGGTGCGCCAGCGATGCTTTTGGCCCGGGATGTCTACCGACATTAAGCAGTGGGTGCAGCTGTGTGAACGTTGCCAGGTCGCTAAGGACGCTGCACCAGTGCCCCACAGTTTCATGGGTCATTTGCTCGCTTCTCGACCCAACGAGATCTTGGCTATCGATTTCACCCTGTTAGAGCCAACTCGTAATGGGCTGGAGAATGTTTTAGTCATGACTGACGTATTTACCAAATACACCATGGCTATTCCCACTCGTGACCAACGGGCTCCCACTGTCGCCCACGTTATCACCCAGGAGTGGTTTTACAGGTTCGGTGTCCCAAGCCGAATACATTCGGATCAGGGAAGATGTTTTGAGGGTGCCATCCTTCAGCAGCTTTGTCATCTGTACGGTGTAACCAAATCTCGAACCACCGCATACCACCCTGCCGGGAACGGTCAATGTGAGCGGTTCAACCGTACCCTACACAATCTTCTTAGGACCCTCCCACTTCCTCGTAAACATGACTGGGCTTCTTGCCTTCCCCAGGTGCTCTTTTCGTATAACACCACGCCGCATCAGAGCACTGGGGAATCACCATTCTTCTTGATGTTTGGGCGTGAGCCCAACCTTCCGGTTGATTTTGCTCTTGGTCAAGTACCGGATCCCCTTCCTGGGACGGTGCAGAATTGGGTGTCGGAGCATTGCTCGAAGCTCAAGGTGGCCTTCGCTAGTGCTCGGGAACGACTGTCGGCAAATGCTGTCCGGAGGAAGGAAAGGCACGATCTCCGGGTCAGGGAAGCCCCCTTGCGGGTAGGCCAGTTGGTCTACCTGCGAGACCATCGCTTGAGGGGGCGCCACAAAATTCAAGACATGTGGCGCCCTGACCTGTTCCAAGTAGTGAAGGCCCCGGTGGGGGAAGGGTCGGTCTACACTGTTGTTCCAATTGCAAATTTGCAAGCGCCTCGCAATGTGCATCGTGACATGCTTAAGGCCCATCTCATGTCTGGCCCCACGCTTGGACTTCCTAGGGTCGAATCAGTTCCTTTCGAACACTCAGACAGCAACTCTTCGGGAGACTGTGACCTTTGGATTTTGCCTCCTTCGGCTTTTCAGCTTCCGAACCTAGAAGCTCCATCGGACACTGGCCCATCCGATGATCTGGCCATCGTTCCTTTGGAGAACGTATTGGTAGAGGACAGCCACCGAGACACAGAGAACGCCCCAGTACATGCTAGCCCGCCAGTCTTGCGTCGCACCACCCGTATGACCGCCGGGCAACACTCTAATGTCCACCATCTTCCCCGCCCCCTTGATGGGTCTTCTTCTGGGTCTGCGTAGGTCCATTCTACTGTATTATGTCGTCGGGACGCCGACAAAGAAAGGGGGGGTAGAATGTGGCAGGTTGGTGTAGGCTGCCTTTTAAGATGGATTGTGGGTGGCACCAACGTAGCGTTGAAAGCCGGTTACGCGCACGGCGCGCGCTCATACACACACCAGCTTGAGTGGGCATTGTGGTGGCGGCGTGCTGTGGCCTCCCGCAACACCTGGTTCGGGCCTTAACTTTCCGAGCCCTGCGCTTCTACGCATTATCATCCAGGTTAGTTTTAACAAGCCTCTTCTGGTGCACGCTGTGTGCCAGCCCTTCTTAAATGTTGGTTGTCTTAGGTCCAGGACTACGGTCTGGCCTGGCGCGCGTGGTCTTCCTCCTTCTCCTTGGGAGTGCGTGCGTGGTGCACGCGTCGTGCGCTCCAGGCCCTTCTCTGGGTAAGTGCGTCCATTGTCTCGCTGAATTTTGGGCTTGGCCCGGGCTGACATCAAAATTTCCTTAGGTCTGGGGCTGTTGTGGGACTTTGCCGTGATTCCCCCACGTCTCTCCCCCTCCTCCTGCTGCCTGCGGGTGCGCGCACTGTCACCCGGCAGGTAAGAGGTCCAAAGCTTTACCACTGCAGGGCTAATCCTTAGTTAGTAGTTTACGCTCGTGTTTTCCTTTCTAGGCACGAGGCGCACAGCATGCGTGGCCCACGTTGGAGCCGCCACCTCCTGTTAAAGGAGGCCGTTGTTTTGTCCCTCTGTGTTGTCCACATTCTCTCGTGCGTAAAAGCGCTCCAGTCCCATTCCGCGCCCCTGGGCTGCTCCAGCGCGTGCTTAGTGCGTGCATAGGTGGGGGTGGACTCGCACCGAACAATTTAACATTGTTTTCTTTGTAGGCAAAGACTACAGGAATCAGGGTAGTTTGTCCGCATGTCTGCTCCTGCATGCTTGTTTGTTTTTGTCGCTTGCACGTTATTTTCCTTTGCCTGTTTTCTGTGTGTATTTACCTTATTGTGCATGATTTGCTGTGTCTTATTTTATTTTTGCTTCTGTTGTGATGTTTGCCTATTTTCACAAGCTATTTGATTTATGTTTATTTAAAGGTGCTGTCCCCCACTACTCAAGTAGCACTGTGTACATTGTGTATTGTTAAAGGTGTACGGTGTACTGTGTTTAAATTGTTGTTTACCATTTTAAAATAATATTAGGCCTATTTCAATTCCTGTATTTATTAAATAAAACTTATCTTTGTAATAAAAATTCACCTCCTTTATTGTCCTAACCTAGTGCGGCCTTCTGAAAGCAAAAAGATTAAATCAAAACCGTCCGGTCCCAGGGCCATTACCCTGGGTGGCGTTGCTGAATTTTCATTGTTCTACCACGGCTCCCGCCACACTCGGTTGATGAGGGATCCGCCACAAATGTGTTGGCCAAACCTCTGCAGACTGACCTGCCAGGGCCAACTTCCAGCTGGAGCATCTTCACCTCCAACGATCCTGGTGTTCAGAGGAGTGACTCCACACACTGCAATGAAGGAGGTTTTGGTACATTATGTATAAGGTCTTAGTCTCTAAATCCCCATGCTGCTGTGTGTGCTGAAATAATCTCAGCACAACAGTATGGAATCTCGGGCTGAAAATCTCACCTGGATCCGTGGACCAATACATGAAATTTGTCCCCAAAATATGCTCTATTCATAAGACAGAAGCTTGTAGGTTTTTTTCAGGAACAGCAGATAGCAGCAGATGTACCACTAGCTACACAAATGGCAATAATCTTTCTGCACCATTGTTCTAACATACACTCACCGGCCACTTTATTAGGTACACCTTGCTAGTACCGTGTTGGACCCCCCTTTTGCCTTTAAAACTGCCTTTTTCCTTTGGGGCATAGATTCAACAAGTTCCTGGACACACTCCTCAGAGAGTTTGCTCCATATTTGATAGCAACATGCAGTTTCTGTAGATTTGTCGGCTGCACACATGATGCTCCTGTTCCACCACATCCCAAAGTGTCTCTATTGGACTGAGATCTGTGACTGTGGAGGCCATTACAGTACAGTGAACGTTTTGTTATGTTCAAGAAACCAGTCTGTGATGATTGGAGCTTTATGACAAGATGTTTTATCTGCTGGAAGTAGCATCAGAAGATGGTAAACTGTGGTAATAAAGGGATGGACATGGTCAGCAACAATACTCAGGAGGGCTGTGGCAACGATGCTCAACTGGTCCTAAGGGACTCAAAGAGTGCCAAGAAAATATCGCCCATTTCATTACACCCCCACCACCAGCCTGAACTGTTGATACAAGGCAGGATCCATGCTTTCATGTTGTCGACTCCAAATACTGACCCTACCATCCAAATGTCACAGCAGAAATCGAGACTCATCAGACCAGGCAACTTCTTCCAAAATTCTATTATCCATTTTGAGCCTGTGCAAATTGTAGCCTCAGTTTCCTGTTTTTAGCTGACAAGAGTGGAACCCGGTGTGGTCTTCTTCTGCTGTTGCCCATCTGCCTCAAGGTCTGAGGTGTTCTGTGTTCAGAGAGGCTCTTGCAGACCTTGGCTGTAGCAAGTGGTTGTTTGAGTTTCTGTTGCCTTTCTATTCGCTCAAACCAGTCTGGCCATTCACCTCTGACCTCTGGCATCAACAAGGCATTTTCTCCCACTAAACTGCCGCTCACTGGATATTTTCTCTTTTTCAGACCATTCTCTGTAAACCCTAGAGATGGTTGTGTGTGAAAATCTCAGTGGATCAGAAGTTTCTGAAATGCTCAGACCAGCCCGTCTGGCACCAACAACTATGCCACGTTCAAAGTCACTTAAATCTCCTTTCTTCCCCATTCTGACGCTCGGTTTGAACTGCAGCACATCGTCTTGACCCTGTCTACATGCCTAAATGCATTTAGTTGCTTCCATGTGAGTGGCTAATTAGGAATTTGCGTTAAAGTGGAGTTGTATAGGTGTACCTAATGAAGTGGCCGGTGAGTGTAATTTGTGTCTTTCGTTTCTTTTTTTCGCTTGAAATTTCTGTCACTTCTGGTTGGATTTGTTAACATGGCACTTATGTGCAGAAGCATATGGACATCCATAGCACCCAACCAATGATGATGGACAATCGTAAATAAGACCTCCCCTACAAGAAAATGAACAAACAGTTCCCAGACTACGTGTTCCCTTTTGATGTTTGGTCTGGTGTTAGTGAGGCTAATAAGCTCTGTCTGATTAAAAGCAGTAGAAAAGACAATGCTCACACTCTGCACTTGACTCTGTTGGCTCTTCCTCTGTGGGTTCTGGCTCTGGTACTGTGGTTGTTTCTTGTGGTTCTGCTGTTGTAGTGACAAGAGGAGGAGGCAGACCAGGACAGGTGGTGCTGCTGTCAGGGTCTGGGCCTCTGGACACAAACTGGACAAAGCCTGGCTGATCTGAGCTAATGTGAGAGTTGATCCAGGACTGGTATTTGGACACTCTGGAGTAGACTCCTGGCAGATTGGGTCGAGCACAGCCATATCCAAAGCTAACAACACCTGACTGGACCCAGACACGGCCCTGTTTACTGACCATTGGACCTCCAGAGTCGCCCTAAACACAACAGCATATGTGTGAGACTTTTGTGGACCACAGGTTTTTCAGTAATTCCAACACAATACCTGACAGGAGTCCTTTCCTCCAACTTTAAGACCTGCACAGATCATGTTGTCTGTGATTGTGCCCACTCCATTAAGACAATTACACTGATGGTTTCCAACAACAGGAACCTCCACTTCTTGAAGAGTTTCAGGGAACGGGAGTGGCTCTGAGAGGATACACAGAGTTTGTCACTCAATACATTCATATGATGAAGACTGTGCAAAGTAAAGACGATCAGACTGACCTCCCTCTCTGATGGCACCAAAGCCAGTGACCCAGCTATCAACTCCAGCGTTGAACACACTGTTAGTGGCTGCGAGACACACTGGCCTGATGTAATCTGTGAAGGTGACTGCTGAAGACAGTCGGATCAGAGCCATGTCGTTGTCGCTGGTGCTACTGTCATAATTTGGATGTAGAATTATGTTTGATACTGATTTGGAAACTTCATTGGGGTTTGTGCCTTTTAGGTTGTCCCGACCGAGAGAAACCTGCCACCCAAAGGTACTTGTACTGAAAAAGAAAATAACAGACTATTTTCAAACTCATGAAATTAATCTTCTGACCTTAAATGAACAGGGCAGCAGAAGGTCCTTAAAAATAGATTATTGTCAAAAGTCCTGACTCACCTGGAGAAGCAGTGGGCTGCAGACATGATCCACTCTCGGTTGATGAGGGATCCGCCACAAATGTGTTGGCCAAACCTCTGCAGACTGACCTGCCAGGGCCAACTTCCAGCTGGAGCATCTTCACCTCCAACGATCCTGGTGCTCAGAGGAGTGACTCCACACACTGCAATGAAGGAGGTTTTGGTACATTATGTATAAGTTCTTAGCCTCTAAATACCCATGCTGCTGTGTGCATTGAATTTTTTTTTTCTGCACAACAGGCCTCTGACTTTGGCTGAAAATCCCACATGGATCTGGGGACCAATCCATGCGATTTGTCCCTAAATGATGATGCACAATTAAACAGACAGAAGCTTGTAGGTCAGCGCGTAGATTAGAGTGGACAAGAATGAGCCGAGTTTGTTGCACAAATTTGTGGATTTCAATCCTCGTTGAACCAGACCTTACAGTTGAGGGCGAGCTGTTTGTGTTAGATTGAGGTCTGTGGGGAAATTTCCTGTGTAGATATGGGGAGTTTATTCTGCAGTAGCGCGGGTGGCCCACCGCCATGCTAGAGACCGGCTTAAGCAGCAGTACCCTAGATAATATAAAACATCAGTCGCAGATACAAACCTATCTTTCCTATGTTTAAATTGCGCAAACTAAGTAATCTTTCAGCACCGTTGCTTAGACATTTGTGTCCGTCCCTTCTTGTCCAATGTCTGTTTGTGACAAACACATTTGACACTTATGTGCAGATGCATATGATGGACGACCATAGCACCCAAAACATGGCTATGGACAATTGTAAACCACACCTCCCCCGCGAGTCAATGAACTAACGGTTGCCAGACTGATGTTTGCTTGTGATGTTTGGTCCGGTGTCAGTGAGGCTAATAAGTGCTGTCTTTTTAAAAGCAGTAGAGAAGAGAAGAGAAGAAGTAAGTATGTCTTTATTTATATTCAGCATTTTACAGACCGAGGTCACACAAAGTAACTTGTTACTCACACTCTGCACTTGACTCCATTGGCTCTTCCTCTGTGGGTTCTGGCTCTGGTACTGTGGTTGTTTCTTGTGGTTCTTCTGTTGTAGTGACAAGAGGAGGAGGCAGACCAGGACAGGTGGTGCTGCTGTCAGGGTCTGGTCCAGTTGATGTATATCGGATAAAACCAGGACGATTCTTTCTAATCATTGACTTGATCCAGGACTGGTAGTTGGACACTCTGGAGTAGACTCCTGGCAGATTGGGTTGAGCACAGCCATATCCAAAGCTAACAACACCTGACTGGACCCAGACAGGGCCCTGTTTACTGACCATTGGACCTCCAGAGTCGCCCTAAACACAACAGCATATGTGTGAGACTTTTGTGGACCACAGGTTTTTCAGTAATTCCAACACAATACCTGACAGGAGTCCTTTCCTCCAACTTTAAGACCTGCACAGATCATGTTGTCTGTGATTGTGCCCACTCCATTAAGACAATTACACTGACGGTTTCCAACAACAGGAACCTCCACTTCTTGAAGAGTTTCAGGGAACGGGAGTGGCTCTGAGAGGATACACAGAGTTTGTCACTCAATACATTCATATGATGAAGACTGTGCAAAGTAAAGACGATCAGACTGACCTCCCTCTCTGATGGCACCAAAGCCAGTGACCCAGCTATCAACTCCAGCGTTGAACACACTGTTAGTGGCTGCGAGACACACTGGCCTGATGTAATCTGTGAAGGTGACTGCTGAAGACAGTCGGATCAGAGCCATGTCGTTGTCGCTCGTGAAACTGTCATAATTTGGATGGATCTTGATTCTCTTCACTGCCTTTGTGATCTTATTAGGATTAGAACCTCGAAGATTTTCACGACCGAGAGAAACCCTCCATTTTCTTCTTTTGGTGCTGAAGAATATTTTACTTTTTAAAAATCTGTTCAGATCATCAGAATTTTGAACACATTTGAAACACTAACTTTTGAAAACAGTGAGCAGCCGTCAAGACCCATTCATCGTTGATGAGGGATCCGCCACAAATGTGTTGGCCAAACCTCTGCAGACTGACCTGCCAGGGCCAACTTCCAGCTGGAGCATCTTCACCTCCAACTATTTTGTTGTTCAAAGGAGCTCTGCCACAAACTGAAGACAAGAGAGCACCGGTTATTTCATGTTTTAAACTCTTAAGATAATCCTCATCATCCCTTTCTATACTCACCATCGAGCTGAGCCTCTGATTCTGAAAAATAGTAACAGTAAAATTAAGTTAATTAATTCATAATGTCTTGATATAGGTGTCAAGGTATTAGTGTAAGTATTAGTAAACCAGTAACTATTATTGTTGTACTTAGAGAAAAAATAAAGTATAATTGAGTAAGATAATAACAAATTCTGAAATCCAATCTTAAAGTCATTGTCTGGGGAAGTTCTACATCAGGACCCTGCAGGATAACGAAGGTTTAATCGAAGGTGTCGAAATGTGTTCTGTCCTAGAATTTAAAACTTAATCCCCCACTGTCTGTGAGTAATAATCATAATAATCATAATCAGAACATTAATACATTTTATGTCTTAGAGACGATAGAGAACACTGCTTAGAAATAAAATCAAGCAGTGTTTTTTTTACTTGATTTATATAAAATAAAAATGAACAAAAAAGGAGGTTCTCCCAGGTGTGACAATAGTTTAAGAATACTACAGCCTAATGTACAGTTAATGAACCTTACCTTTGCCGAGGAGGCATCCCAGCATCAAAATGCAGACGCAGCGTTTGAAGGCCATTGTGTGATGCTCGATGGTCACAGCGGCTTATATAGGTCTGTCAGATACCTGTGGGAAGGTGTCATACTTCCTCACCTCACTGTCTGTACCTCCTTCATCGTTGTGTAATTTATGATTAAACATCTATCACTGGAGAGGTTTACATACATAAATAAATGTGTCGTATATGGTAGTATGTGGTAATGATGTATGTACAAACATTTAAAACCTATTTTTACTTGACTTGAACGGTGACGTAACAAGTCTATTGTCTGACTGATGAAATGACAGCTTAAATACATATGAATGGCTGTGTGCAATAGTGGAAAAACCAATGTAAACGGCTCTAAGTGGACCATGAGCTGACTCCATTGTGAGGCCGTACGTCTAAAAGATCCATCTGTGGTTTCAAAAGCTCTGAATCCGCTGTGGGAGAAGTGAAGGTTCTCGAATCCTTTTATTCATTTGGTTAAAATCATGTGAAACATAAGTATAAGCTTGAAATAGTGAGACCTGAATATTCACAAGTTAGAGAGGCTTTTGAGAACGGTCCCCCACTGATGGTCCCTCACTGATGGCCCCCCACTGATGGTCCCTCACTGATGGCCCCCCACTGATGGTCCCTCACTGATGGTCCCCCACTGATGGTCCCTCACTGATGGTCCCTCACTGATGGTCCCCCACTGATGGTCCCCCACTGATGGTCCCTCACTGATGGTCCCTCACTGATGGTCGCTCACTGATGGTCGCTCACTGATGGTCCCTCACTGATGGTCCCCCACTGATGGTCCCCCACTGATGGTCCCTCACTGATGGTCCCTCACTGATGGTCCCTCACTGATGGTCCCTCACTGATGGTCGCTCACTGATGGTCCCTCACAGATGGTCCCTCACTGATGGTCCTCACTGATGGTCCCTCACTGATGGTCCCCCACAGATGGTCCCTCACTGATGGTCCCTCACTGATGGTCCTCACTGATGGTCATTATGTAACTAGTGCTGTAATAGTTCTAACACAGGGATCACGCTCACATGTTCTGTGTACAATGCAGGTATGTCACATTGTCACATTGATGACAGATTTTTACGTAACGTGGTCTAAGTAAAAACAATGGACAATGGGGTCTGGAGTATTTCTGTGAGCTTGTTTTGACACCTGTGACGCACCATCGTTCAAGTCACACCTTCATCCATCATCTTCTCAGACATGACTGACGGTACAGGAGCAGTACAGTAACAATCATCATCATTCTTGGTGAATAATAGTTATAATATCTCATGTATATGTAATAAGGACTGGAAGGTCTTGAATAAATGAATAAATGTCTCTAAAAATATTATCCTCTTGTGAGTCACACTCATGGATGTGTATCATAGTTTAGAGACTTCATGACACTTTGAAACAACTGTGGTTAAAGTTCTAACCATAGACTGTATATATTAACGGACAGAGTCACGCCTATCTCCGCCGTTCTAACTAATGGGCCAAAAATAGTGCTCTACTGGAGCTATCCAAAATGGCCGCGAGTGGTCCCGCCCACAAGAACATTGTGAAAAAACGCATCTGCGCATGCGTCAGCCGGTGCAAGGTCCATTCATTTAAACAAGAGACTTAAAAAATTCACAGCGAGTAAACTAGAGTGGCCTAAAAAAAAAAACTCCCCTCAGCATTGACACACATGTGGAAGGACCTTTGGGCCAAGAGCCGACTTTTGGTCCATCCTGTAAAGACGTTTTCGAGAGGTTTGTCAATGCTATATGTTAGCATTGGCTAATTCTTATTCCGGGTCCACCCCCATCGGCCCGGGGTGGTATTGCAGCATGTCAGCGCACGTCATTTTGGCCACTTTTGAGCCGGGACCCGCCCCCACTGCTTCTGACACATCATTCTAAGATATGCACGAGGCAGTACTTTTCCACTGCATGTTTGGTTTTCTGAGGGCCAAGCTACTGGCACTGTGGCGAATGCCGATTGGACGGTCTCCATTCCTCCTGCTGTATGATATCACTTACATTCTGTGACATCTTTGTTCGTGCTCGTCTTCCATCAACAATAAAACATGTCTTCTGTCTGAATTAAAGACACAATCCCAGACTTTGTCATTTTCTTCAATAGTCACACATGAAGATAGTTACACTATAAAGTTGTTTTTTGTTACTTCCGTCTGCGTTCAGGGTTATACACATGGTGGCCGAGTGGATGATTCTCAGGTCGGAGGTCCTTGGTTTGAATCTCAGTCATAAACATTTGCCGCTTTTCCACAGTAACGGTACAATACGGTTCGGCACGGCCGTGTGCGGGTGCTTTTCCTTTAAAAATAGTACCGCTTCAGCGTGGGAGGGATTGTCAGACCATGTCATTTACTCGCAACGTGTAACCGGTGACATTGGTGCGGTGCATGGATTTATTATAATGTCGGTGATAGCTGGTTATTTCCTCCGAGGGGACTCTGCTTACCTCCCGCAAAACTGGCTCCTAAAACCTTTTCAGGACACAGAGTGATAGACAGCAAGTATTTAATGGAAAATTCAGCACAGCGCGAGTGGTTGATGAAAATGCTTTCAGCAGCTTTTTAGGAATGACTCGGACACTGAACATGTGAAGTCAATGGTGCTGCAAAAACCATGGAGAGACCTGTGACACCTTTCGCAGTGGCGCAGCGGAGGGTCTGATGAATAACTTTGTCATATGCCTAAACATTTATTTTGCCCTTGTTTTAACCAAAAATATAACTTCTGTATTTAGCAAATGTCTCCATCGTTGTTCATAAATTTACCACGGTTATACGGATTTACTGACAAATATAATGTATGCAATGTAAATAGAAGTAAAAGTATGTGGTAGGAAATCGTAACTTTTGAACCCCTTTTCTGCACGTGTACAGACAAATGAATGAAACAAAGTCTTACAATCTATTGCCGGATACAGTCACAGATTTATTTAAAAAGAAAGTTAAGTGCAAAACCATCCATCCATCCACCCATTTTCCTCCGCTATATCCGTTGCCGGGTCGCGGGGGCAGCAGTCTAAGCAGAGACGCCCAGACTTCCCTATCCACGCAAACTTCCTCCAGCTCGTCCGGGGGGACCCCAAGGCGTTCCCAGGCCAGCTGAGAGACATAGTCCCTCCAGCGGGGCCTCCTCCCGGTAGGACGTGCCCGAAACACCTCCCCAGGGAGGCGTCCGGGAGGCATCCTGAACAGATGCCCGAGCCACCTCAGCTGGTTCCTCTCGACGTGAAGGAGCAGCGGCTCTACTCCGAGCTCCTCCTGTGTGACTGAGCTCCTCACCCTATCTCTAAGGGAGCGCCCAGCCACTCTGCGGAGGAAGCTCATTTCGACCGCAGTTTACAAAGTCCAAAGTACGTATGTCTGAGATCAGGTCCAGATGAGAAAGTGAAGTACTCCGGTCACTCATTCATTTCTCGTTGGTAATCTCCTCACTTGTGGGAAGGAATTCTCAAACAAATAAATATACACACGACAACTTAAGTACAAGCACAAAACAGAATGGCAGCACGTGAAAGAGCAAGATACAGCACAGTAGAACAGGAAGGAAGTTTTAGCTTATTAGCTTGCTATCGATAGCTAAATGTAGCTAGCTCACTGTGTACATCCAAGATGGCGCCGTATTCAAATGAATGGTTGTGCTCAGTGGCTTTGTGCCGGCACGGTCGCTGACATATTAGCGGAACTCGCCTGGAACTCGCAAAGATCCATGGGAAACTCGTCTGTATTTGGGCATTGTCTGGTCCTCCCCGTTCTGCGCAGTGGATGATCTCCCATAATGCGTTGAGCCAAATACGGGTCTGTGGCTCTCACGCATGTGCACAGAGGGACTCGGCACCACTCTGACCAATCAGAGCTGCTCATCAGAGCCAGACGGGCAGAGTTTGTGGCACTAAAGAGTGGATTTAACCCTCATGTTGTGTTAGGAACCGGCACCACTGCCCGTTGTTAGCGGGTCAATTTTGACCCGGGGTCTAACTCAATCCTGACCATTAAAAATCAATCAAGTATCACTTGATATAGAATCCGTGTACCCTTCGATCATTAGTTATTCCGTTTCAAAATCAAATCAGAAAAACAAATTACGTGGTTGTTTTATTGTATTTCCATTTTCTAAATTAAATTGGAAAATCAAAACATTCTAAATAAAATATTCACCCATTTCTTTGCTATGCAGTGGAAACAAACACTACTAAAACAACTTTCATTATTTTGTTTGATATGCTACCGGAAATGATGAGTGGTGAGAGACGGAAACAACTGCAAGCTGCGCTCAACTCAACTCAACTGCACGACAACAACTCGCGCTGTTGTTGAGCTCGCCCCGAGGCCCGAGCTCCTGGGGCAAAATGCAGCCTCGCGGAAATTAAATTCTGGAAGACCTCAGCCAAAGCCACCCCTTCCAGGCCGGCCTCGCATCCCCAGCCTATCGCACAGCAAAACGCCCATTTCCAACCAACCTATGCCGGCCAGGCCAGCCGCTTAAAAGCGGAGAAACTCCCACTTTACGGCCTTCTCGAAGCCTTGCAAAGAGTTGTTCTGGAGGAATCGCTTTCGTCTACTCACGCTTACTCGTGCGTGTCCCTGCTGTCCTCTGTCTTGCTGCGTGTGGTCTGCTCCTCCTCCGCGTCGCTGCACCTGCTGCGGGTCTCGTGCTGTGGTCCGTGGGTCTTTGCCGCTCTCCTCCTTTGCGGGCTCTTTCTGCGGGTTTGCCGCTGCTCGTCTCGTCGCGGCCTGCTGCTGCATACGGCCGGTCTAGCCCGGTGCGGTGGGAGCTGTGCGCATCCCTGCCTCCTCGTGCCGGTACGGTGTGGTCCCGTTGTTTTTTCCTTGTCTTCTGGCGTTGTGGGTAAGTATGCTGACCTGCGGACGGTTTATTCCCCTCGCTTTGTACTGCAGGCTCAGTTGGCCCCGCGCATTGGTGTGCAAGCTCTCAGTTTAAAGCCCTCGCATTGGTCTGCAGGCTCTCTTTAAATCCCCCTCTTGGACTACAAGCTCTGTTTAAATCCCTCT